GGGCGGCGGGGGCGGCGGTGGGGTGGGTCTCCGGGGTTCGGCGATCACGGGGCTAGAACTCGAGTGGCAGATTCGGTTGGAGTCCCTGACCGGTTTGCCTGCAATTCTGGACGAGGACGGGGGCGGCACGACGCTCGACTTTACGTACATCGTCGGGGCTACGGCCGGCGGTGGCGGCCGCCGTCGGGACGGGAGAATGGGCCTGCGCAGTACCCTTCACAGGGGACGGATGGCGGGGATAGCCGCGGTGTTGGGGAACGCCGATGGGTTGGACTTGAGCTCAGGGCATCACGCTTCGGGCCGGGGTGTGGCAGAAGTTTACCCTACGCTTTCTGCCGGCACGAGCGGCGATGTCGGTGGGAGTTCCGGGAAGCTGCGTCCGCGCAGAGTCGAGGGCCTGTACCGCGATCGCCCTGCGCTAATCCGCGCTTACAATGTCGTGGCGTGCTTGACCAACCAATTCGGCCGCGTGCTGCTGTCTCCGGGTGGAGTCAACGTGAGCGGCTCCAAGGCTGTCGTACGCTCTCACTGCCTCCAGCCGGCTGGATCGGCCGCAAAAGGCCCGGCGAGAGACGTCGGCAGGCGTGCTGCCAACAGCGGCAGTGGTGGTGGTGGTGGCGGTGGCAGCAGCGGTTCGGGCATTGTCTCCATCAACGGGTGGGAGTTCGGCGAGGACCCGCGGGAACAGCTGTACTCCATGGCCCACGCGGCGGCTCGGGGGTGGGCGGTGCCCTCGAGGTGTACATCACCGCGAATGGCCAAAGACAGGCGAAGCGGCGGAGGAGGAGCTACAGACGCGCTCGTGCCAAGGACGGATGCTGCTGCAAGGGGAGACGGGCTCCTCCAGAGAGACCTGTGGATGCCGTTGTGGCTGCTTATGCCTCAGGATAGCTTCACCCCGGCTGATAAGCTGCGGCCCGTGCCCAACGCTTTCGAGATGGATGCTGTCGTTTGGAAGCCTGGACCGTTTAGTCCCGAGACTGACCCTGGGTCCGGGTGGCTGAATGAGGCGCGAGTTGCGGCCCTGGAAGCACCGAACCATTTGCTCAGGTGGGTGCAAGCGTAGTGATGTACGGTGCAGGGTTTCCCCCCTCTTCTTTGATTAGAGCGAATTGGGTTGAGGTTTGGTGTCTATCGGCCTAACCGACGCGAGATCGGATGAGTGACAACCCAAGGCAGACATTTCCAGTGAAGCCAGTTTTATGCGATGCTTTTGTGCCGGTACGCTTTGTCTCCTTCCCTACTAGTTTCGATCATCTGCACCGTATGCTTTAATCCGCCAAACTTTGTGTGACGTGTACCTTGTCGACATCTTGTGGCGCTCACCGCAGAGTGGCTGTCGAATCGGAGCCGATGCTGGACGACTCTGCCAAGTCTCTCGAGGTCAAAGACCGCTTCCGCCAGGGAAAAATCGACGGGGTCGAGTTCGCGCGGTTTATGGCCGAGCTGAAACAAACGGGAGCGGACCGCATCGAGCGCAGGGGGAGGCGCGGCACCGCCGCTGCAGGGGCAGTAGTGGGCGCAGATTCAAGCTTGGCGGCGATCTCAGCCGCTCCAGGTCTGACTGTCTCTACTGCATCCTCTACACCCGGGCCTTCGCAAGGACGGGATGGAGGTGCTGGCGGAGTGCCTGGCAGAGTCGGTGGCACCGACACAAGCAGAGATCCGGACGGCGGCCCGGCGGGGTTAAAGTCGAAGCGCCCCGCGAACTCCACCGGGATGTTGAGCAAGCTTGGCGGTCGGCTAGTGGCAGGGCTTACGACGGCCTCGCTCAAGGCCGACCAGGGGAGCGGCACCAACAGTCCCGCTGGGGAACGGGCGCGCTCGGAAGCGGGAGGGGTGCGGCGTTTGAGAAGTCCTAGGCGGGGAAGCCTGTTCGGATCGCCACGCCAAGAGCCTCAGGAGCCCCGCACTAGCGAGGGCAGCGCTGCCACAGCGGGTGGCAGTGGCTGGCGGCCTTGGAGCGGGCCGGGCAGTGGCAACCGCAAGTCTACCTCAGATCCCTCTTACCCCGACCGCCCGGCACCTTCCCTGGCCGATACTGGCACACCGGTCCGGGGTGGTGATGCTCCTACGCCCAGTGCACAGAGGGCAGAAGCACCCTTGGCTTCCTCTCAACTTCATCACCTGGGACAAGGTGCCGCGGGTGCCGGGGGAGCGGGGCCTTTGACGGCGTCCGAGATAGACCAGATGAGCAGTGTTTCGACGACTAGCACCGTGCTGACTGATTTGTCTCTTCGGATGGAAAAGATCGAGGACCTGCTGTCGAAGCTGCTCGAGGCGAGCACCGGGGACAAAGGGATGGGTGGCGGTGGCGGCGGCGACATCCTCCAGCGATGGGGCCGCGTGGCGATCGGACAAGGTGGCGGAGGTCACGACCCTGCCACCCGCAGCAGTGAAGGGGGCACGGCTTCTGGCGTCGTAGTAGCCCCCGGATCAAGGCACTCATCGAACGTGCTACCCGAAGACTCGGCAGGCGAGCTTATGGGGGCGGTGAAGGACACGACCGCAGAGCTGCGGCAGGTGCGGAGGCGTTTGCGCCAGTTGGAGCTCGAGGAAGCGGCAGCAAAGGTTGCTGCTGCCGCTGGGTCTAGTTCGCAGGCGCCGCCAGCCCCTAACATGGTTGCGCCTCACTCTCCTCAGCCATCGCCGCCACCGGCTGAAGGACAGGTTGCCCTGCCCGAGGCTTCGGATGGCGGGATCAGCGAGGTCAGCGAAAGTGGCGGCGGGCATTTCATACAAGGGGGTGTCCGGGCGTCCGAACTGCCGGTGTGCGAGAAGGATTCATTCGATGAGGAGGAAGAACCGCGACCCTTTGCTGACGGTACACAGCCGAAACCCTCGTCGCCTATAACGCTGGGTGCTGCTCATACCTCTGGGCAACACTCGCCGACGTCCAGCGACCAGGAGGATGATGGAGTGGTTGGGACGGGTCCAAGCCGCAAGGCGGAATCAACTGCGACCGGAGGAGAGTCTGACCACCCCCCACGCGGTTCACGGAAGAATAGTGTTGGCCGTCGAGGGGAGGAAAGTGAAGAACAGGGGGTAGGAATGAACCACGGCAGAGAAGATGAAACCAAAGGTGATGAGCCAGATGTCGGCAGTGCGACACGGAGGGGGGACGGGAGCCGCCCCGGAGGAAGCGGCAGCAGCGGGGGCGCTGCGGTGCGACGACCGATGTCGTTCGGTCTCAGCCCAATTTCGGAGGCGCTGGCATAGATTAGCTAAACAGAAGGAGTAACCAGTATCTTTTGCCGTGGGGCGAGCTTTGTGCCGCGGGTACAAAAAGCACTGCAGGTGCTTCTACAGGTGCTTCTAAGGGGTGGTTGCTCGGCATGCTGGAAATATTCATTACTGTCGCCTCGTTCGCTTCGTTTTTTTTCTGATGTCTTGTAGGAAGCGGGCCCCGTCGACTGATTTAGTGATTTTGGTGAACAGAGGTGTTAGAGAGCCGTGCGGAAGACGTAGGATATCGTAACATCGGTCTGTTCGTGGTCGGAATGATGTACATATGTACACGTGGTTGATCGCCACGCTTGATATGGGCGCGCTGTGTTCCCTTGTACTTGCATATGCGTACGTATATGAAGAAGGTGTGCGTGTGGTTGATTCTCGTCGTTTTGAGCCTTTGCTGTTATGATGTGGCCGTGATGATGTTTTTGATCATGTGGTCCCTTGTCGTCCTTGGTCGGTGTGCTTTATATTGTGATCTGCTTCATTCGTCGGACGTAGCCTTCTGTCAATTTAGTTTTTTTCCGAGAACTCTGTTGTTTGCGTGCACTCCCCAATAGTTGGCGGGAACATGGAATCGGCAGAAGAGATGGAATGCGTACATGGAAACTACTGTATCGCAGAAAATTGTTGGAATCTGCCCGCCCCGCGGAGTATGTGAGCTAGCAGCGGGTGCTCTGTTGAATGTCGACTGTTGGAAGGACAGGTTTGAGGTTGGAAGGTTTGCACCGCTCCTCCTGGTGTCCTTACATGTCTTGGTGCTGGATACATGTGATGAGTGGCAATATATACAAGAGACTGTCCTGGCGATGATTGTAACCGGGGATGGTGCTGCAACAGTTCAATAGAGCGTGGTAAAACGGATTACCATTCCATCAACAACAGGACATATTTTACTGCCCTGTCCTTCGAGGCGGCCAATGACAAACGTTGGCGTACACACACACATTCACGGAAACAATAGTGGGCGCGCACCTTGGCTCGCGCGCCCGAAAATGAGGGAAAGCCCCCCTCCTGTGTCCGTCACACAGTGGCTTTTCGTACATCAAAGCGAACGGAGATGGAGCGGGTGCGGAGAGGGCATGTTCCCTCGGTTGAGGATAACGTGAGCCCTTCGCGATAGAAAGGATTCACCTCCAAAAAAGGCTACCTAATGTGCGGTTATGGACCCTTTCCAGTTGCTCTGGGGCGTATTTGCCCCTAAATGGCAAACAAGCGTGCTGGTGCCCTTCTCTTTCTCACCTCATGGGAAGACATTGTTGGTCGAATTTACGAGGATCGAGTGTGAGGCTGGTTGCAAGGAAGTGTTAAGGTCTACCTATCTGCGTCATGGTGCTGAACACCTCGTTTCCGTCTCGTTTCGTAGTTGCCACAAGAGGGAAGTGTCGAACGTAAGCAAAACAACGTGTGAAATACCACACAAGATAATATGAGTAATATGAAAGACAGGAATAACGGTATGCATTTCGTAGAGTGGAGACAGCATTATGTTCGGGAAACACCCGTCCCGGTCCACAGTTGGAAATCCGAAGCGCATACATAGGCCGCTGACGTAAGGTTAGATTAGTCTATACCCAACATAGATGCAGAATAAAACACGTAACTGCTGCTTATCGCGGCGGACCTGCTCAGTGGGAGCAGAGATTACGCTCAATGCCAGTAAGTGACCATGGATCGAGCGAGGGTAATTTACATGCTCCCTGGATAATGCCAATCGACACCCGACAATAATAAGGATATAACGGCGCAACAGGCTTTCCAAAAACATGCTAATTCCTCCCCCCATCATACTAGTATACATCACACCACAAAAGCAACCACGTGCCACTGACGACCAAGACGCCTACACGTCCGTACACATAAAAGGTTCACCGGTATGGGGCTTTGGCGCACGCGTGAAAAGCATCCAAAAGTCCCACCACTGCCATCAGCACCGCTGGTGTAATCCCATTCCTCCTGATGCCGACAGCAAACGATCGAGGAAGGACCTATGGCGTACACTGCTGTAGTCCGATCTCCCCTTGACACCCGTCAACGTGGCACTGCAAAACGCAAAATATGAAACACGCAAGCCTCTCGACTATCACGGGATTACGCGTTCTGGGATTACACGCCAAATCCTCCCTCCACACAACTGCAGTGGGCTACAGTACAGTAAAACAAAATCAATCTCTGCTAAGGAGCAAAATGCCAGTACGTTTGTCCACAGGGAGAATCTTTGCGGCACTGGCACACACATTTAATTAAGGAAAGCATGTTCAAGAGTTCCATTACTGCTGTGGATTCCCAGGAAACGTGGAACACGTACAGAGGCAGACTCTCAGCTCCCTACGTCATAGCGCAATACATGTGCATTGCGGATAGAACAAGACAAGAACGACAGGACGCACGCTCGGCATTTACACCAAGCACAGCTGCTCCATCCAAGCATTGACTAGATGATGGCATAATCAAAATATTCAACCTCAACACTGTGCACACTCCAAGTGCATCGTAGTTGCTCGTGTTTGTCGGTAAGCAATGCAGGCAAAACCTACAATGCCTGGAAATCACGAGACAAGCGGGTGTATCGAGTTCCGCCGTTTGGTTGTGACCAACCCGCATCAATCTCCTACATGCCACCGTCAGAGACCGACACCCAAGGCCTTACACGAGAATTCTTGGCCGTGCCAACTGCCGAGGCTTGATGTCTTCTGCCCGGTATTGTCGGGTGTCCTAGCTCTAGTACTCGCTATCCCTTGCCCGCCGTGCTGGCATCGGCTTTCTCAACGTATCGCCACACGTTCACCTGCCCCTCAGTTGTCGTCAAACCTCTAAAGGTGAAGGGAGAGAAGATACAATACACATTCGGACATGTCAAGCAAGGGTCGTGAAAATTTCGAATAATCGCTTATGTTCAAGGCATGAGAACAGAGCAAGCAGCCGTGCACAGAAATACTTCCGATTGAATTGCCTTGCAAAATGGTTGCAAAATATGCCCGATCCCTTCTTGCCGGCCAAAGATGTCACACCTCTCATCTCTGACACCCAAACCTGCAAATCTCCAAAGCAAAAGCAACAGCCGCTTCCTTCGACCAAGCGGGACACACTGCCTGTGATAGCACCAGCCGGGGTGATCTTTAGTACAGGACTCTCTGGACAATTGTAGTACGGCGGATGGTTCGGTTGCGAGACCCCGTCATCTGGGCCACCACAAGAATGACCCCCAACCAAGGGCTAACGGCCGAACGGCTACCGGTTAACCGAATGCTGGGCGGAGTCCGGCGAAAGCCGGCCGGCACGACCCTTGTCTTGCTTAGTGGGCGTATGGTCTTCAACGAAGATGCGAGCCACCATGTCGCTATACGCAATTCCCACCCTTTGTATAGATGATCAACTTTCTCTTGTGGGCACCGATTTATTTGTGTGAGTGATTCTGACAGGATGCCAGTGCTCCAAAGGGAAAACCAGGACGAGCTACCGATCGTTGCCAGCAGGTACCTCGCGTCTTCAATGATACGACGCCCCAAATTCACGAACGCTGGCCCACATATCAGTCGACACAGCAGCATGGTCGGGGCAATCACATCCGAACGGCATTCATTCATCCAGTCCCACGGGACACATACAAAACACACATGATCTGATCATGGGTTTCCAATCTATTTATATTTGCCTCTTCAGCACCCAACACGACGCATCGTATTACTGAACACTTGCATGAGCCACGAAGAATTGGGAGACCTTCAGGCCCTGTCGTTGTGCCATCGTGTTTGTCCGTAGCTTGGACGGTGCGTTGTGTGGTGCTCAAAAACGGCTCTTGATCGCTGATGTTAGCTTCTCCCTGGTGCCTGTGAGGTGAGCAATAAAAGAAACAAGTTGCAGACAGAGAGGCCGGAAGTGCAAGGGTCAGCAGCCATTCTGAGAGCAACGATTTACGGGGGGGCGAGGGGGACTAAGCAGCTCCAAATCACACGTGAGTAGCACCGGCGACCTGTTAACCGATAAATGGGCGTTTCACAATCACTTGAAATGCCCCGGTCCAGCGGTGCCTAGCGCGTAATCAAGTATCACGCGGACGGTCATTTTGTTTCGTGGAAAACAAAAGATATGGGGAGGATTCTATTTACGTCACCGGTGGCGTTATTTCTTACATACGTCACCGCCCGTATCTCAGCCCACAGAGCTTCAATTGGCACAAAATAAATTTTGTTGTGTAGCTATGACCCACACCAATCATACAAGCCTTTCGACGGTCAAACCCGATAAGTGGTTGCGGAGATTTGCTCAAAAGGGGGCTCAGCAGTATGATTCTGCATCTACCACAAAAAATCCGACTGTAATTTCGCGCAGAGAGCTCCGATCGACACCAATAGCTTAAGTGATGGCTGTGAATCGTGGAAAAACAACGCGAGTTACATAGTTAGTGTCGACGAGAACTCTCTGCGAGGAGGCACGGTCGTTTCATTTATGTCAGATACAGTATATCATACCGCTCAGCCCCCTTTTGAGCAAATCTCCGCAACCACTTATCGGATTTGACCGTCGAAAGGCTTGTATGATTGGTGTGGGTCATAGCTACACAACAAAATTTATTTTGTGCCAATTGAAGCTCTGTGGGCTGAGATACGGGCGGTGACGTATGTAAGAAATAACGCCACCGGTGACGTAAATAGAATTATTCTATGGACAAAATGCTCCGTCCATGAAGAGCCACCGCATAACGTGATGAGGGCTTACGAATGAAGAGCCACCGCACAGTGTGAGGAAGGCTTACGAAAAAAAATTCGGTACAGCAACATGCTCAATTCACCACCCAAAACGCAACTTTTCGTCGTAGTTCCCTTTGAAGAGTATTAGACACCGCCCTCTTAAGCAGACCCAAAACACTTGCTGCGGCTGGTATCTATTGAGATGCGACGTTGCCGTCGACTTCGGGGCATCGGGGAACTGGTGCTGCCGATATAGATGAGCTCAGTTTCCCATCAGCTCAGGCCACGTTTCCAGAACATCAAGGTCCAGTTCCGTAGAAACGTAGCCGTAAACCCCATGGTGTTTGCGACACGGCACGGTGAAATTGGGCATCGATCTCTCTGCGAGACTCCTTTCACAAAGGAATGTACCCGTCTGGGTCTCTTTGACCTTGGTGCATACCCTATATCCTGTTGTGCCATTACCCAAACAATCAACAACACTACGCCAAGACACGATTTGATTCGGGCTTGTCCTTTGGTCTTTGCACGTCTTGAACATGGATGTATGTACAACGTGACATGCAGGTGCTATAGGACCGAGGATGTGCTCCAGACTCGATTCCCGAGCAGTGCCTGGCTTGTCGCAACCTGTCGTGTCACTACGCTTTTCTCGAAATACTCGCCTACTCACTGCCCCAACAAGACTTGATACCTGCCCCTGCCTATTGATCCGGCATGTGCACTTGTCTTCGAATCATCGAACTCTACCTACATCGATCGATTGATATCGTTCCGGATGGAACGTGCAGTTCGCTTGCTTTCGAGTCCGTGGTGATCGTATCTATTCAATCGATCTAGGTTACAGACAACGGTACCTCACCGTGCAAGCAGGCACTGTCGACGTGTCTCCCAACACCTTGGCGTAACCGAGCGTGGTAGTACGGTTGAACCCATGTCAAAGTGAGCGAGTGCATACACAGTCTCGTCACGCTACTTGTCGCTGCACGAAAAACGGTACGTGCCTTGACGTGTGAGCGGTGTAGCGGTACCACAGATGCGTTCTGTACTTCACACACACCGTGCACCAATAATTGGTACCAGATGCACATCGGTCCGGAGTTTTGACACCCATCTCGCCGTACAGCAAGCCTCTACATGGTGCATACAAGTCACCTACTAGATGTTTCCGGTCTCGACGCCGAGTCCTTACAGCATGAGGATGCAATCCCAAAACACACAACTTCGGCTTTAGTTCCCTAGAATAAGAAGACAGAGCTCTCCAAAACGGACTCAAATCAATTGGTGTGACTGGATTCTGAGGAGATGCGACGTTGACGACGTTGACGTCGAATACTTCGGGGGATCGGAGGTCTGATGTACGTCATACGCATTTCGCCGCGAGTGCAGTCCAGAAATCCCCGGAATAATGGCGTGTTGTTGCAACTCGCGCATGGGCCACCCTCTACTACATTTACCATAGAAAAATTCTATTTACGTCACAGGTGGCGTTCTTATATGGAAAGAAGGAGGATTCTATTTACGTCCCCGGTATGGGAGGATTCCATTTACGTCACCGGTGGCGTTATTTTTTACCATACCCCAACTCATGCTGACATCCCTCGACAACAGGGAGAGGTTTCGGGCCAAGCGAGCGAGCGCCAAACCAATCCCACCAAGCATTTGCTGGAACGCAGTTACAATTTCACGGAGGGGTGATGTCTTCCAACAGCTTGGCGCACCAAAGTGTAGGTGCGGTTGAACGCACGGTGAATCAAAGCAAGAGTGCACTCTCATTACGCTACATTTTATGGTGTAGGCCAGTCACAGCCTCATACACCACGGCTCCAGACGCGTATCGGTCCGCTTTTCAACAACCATCTCGCCATGGCAAACCTCTAAATGGTGCATACAACCTCACCTACAAGGTGGTCATGACGCCAAGTTCTTACAGCATGACAATGCAATCCCAAAACACACAACTTCGCCGCAGGTCCCTGTAGACACAAGACAGAGTCCTCTTAAGCAGACCCGAAACACCTGCTGTTGTTGTTTTCTGTTGAGAATCGACGTTGTCGTCAAATATAAAGGAGGATCGGAGATCTGATGTACGTCGTACGCATTTCGCCGCGAGTGCAGCCGAGAAAAGCCCCGGTATGATGGCGTGTTGTTGCAACTCCCATATGAGTCACCCTCTACTAAACCCAATCCGTGCAGACTGTTTGCGGCCTACGCCACTTATTTATCGGGTGAGACTGTTTTGGTTATGTATTAACTTCACGAGAGGTAGACAACCGTCCTTCACACGGACGAAAGAAGGAGCGCTCAAAGAGCGCCCCCCACAGCAAGGAGGGGTCCCGTGAATCTTCGCGGTGCCCCCTACCAAACGACAACCTTACCAGTCTGTGTGACACCAAAATCATCCAGCACATGTATCCAACACCAATGTTCGCAGACCCACGAACACCCTCCCTGGTTCTTCACGCAAGTGACCAACCATCAATGGGGCAAAAACGCCCCTGGATACATCAGAAAAGACAAACATGGTAATATATGGAGGGGAAACCCGGCGTCCGGGCAAAACCCCTCGCAAAAACCCTTAACACCACAAAAATAGCGTCGCTATCACAGCGGGTCACAACGGCCGCACTTATTAGAAATGCCAAGGCGAAGACAAGAACGCGAGGAACGACGTTCCCCCGGACGATGGTCTCCCAACGCCCCCTACTCCTGCCATTGGTACACAGACCGCAACAGTTATGCGCCTTTCCGCGCATGGAAAACATGACCTCTCCCAAGTGCTAGAACTGCTACAGCTACTCCGGCAAATTCATCAACTTGCGCCGGTGGTACTGCAGACTAGCCCTGCTAAGGGCCTTGGTTAGGCGATCCGCGTGTTGTTCCGTTGCCGGAACGAACTTGACCGAAATATCCTCCGACCTAAACAATCCGCGGATGAAATAAAATCTGACGTCGATATGTTTCGTGCGACCTGAGCTGAGGGGGTTGTGCGCCAACGCTATGGCCCCCTGGTTGTCCTCAAGGACCTGGAAGCTGCTACCAATGGTCTCTGGGGCAACAAACGAAAGCACAGCACGCACAAACAACGCCTCCTTGACGCCCTCCCCGGCAGCAATGTATTCGGCTTCCGTCGAAGACAAAGACACGATGCTCTGTGTCGTACTACCATGGCTGACTACGGTACTTCCAACCGTCGTCGCCAACCCTGACACCGAATGACTATCCTCCGTGTCAGCGTAGCTAGCGTCTACGTACACGGCCAGCCCTGACCCCGATCCCCGTTTGTAGGCGATGTCGAGGTCCCTCGTCTTCTTCAAGTAGCCGAGGATCTTCTGGATGGCATCCCAGTGCCTCTTCGCCGGGGCGTGGGCGTGGCGCGCTACCGCACGCACGGCAAACAAGACGTCTGGACGCGAGAACGTCGACACCCACATCATGCTGCCGATGTCGCTGCCGCTGCCGCCTCTACCGCGGTGGCTGCTGCTGCGGTCGTCCTCGCCGCCGCCCAAATCGGCCATGCCGGCCGACGTGGTAGATGGGGCGACGCTCGCGCCCTCCCTGCTCGAGGGGGCGCCATCGCCAGCGTCGCCCGCGCCCGACTCCTGGG